ACACCCTTGAGATTTGAGCGATTGTCTTTTTGCCACTAAAATTTCTCCTCTTGATCACGGTTCACTGTTTATTCAATTCAGTAATGTGTTTTCAGCACTTTCATTCAGAGTGTTAGAAAATAATTTTTATAGAAAGGTGCAACTACGTCTTTCATACAGATATGAAAATGCTTCAGAGGATTTTCGTGTAACTCATCAGTGAGGAAGTGGTAAGGTTTAAGAACCAGTTTAAAGGGGAGTCTAACAGGCACATTTGTAGATCAGAACTGTTGAGATGGATGTGTAAATAGAGGCAAAACTAATTTTTTTCTTGGTGTGTATGTGGATATAAGGATGAACTGTTTCTCTCCTGAACATGATTCATCTGTGTGCCTATAAACAAGAATTGTTTTACATTGCTATTGTTACCTACAATTTACAGAATTGGAAAATTGTTCTGTTATGGAAAAAAATATTCATGACACATTAAATGGTAAGGCAGACTTTATTCAGGACTGTATTACTGCAATGGGGTTTAGCAGTAAACAGAATGAGCTCAACTCTAAATACAAAGACAAGTGGGAATTTATAGCCGAGAAGTGGAGTTAGGAGGAAACTTCAGGTGTATGAAGTGATTCTGACAGGACTGACTGGGCAGGATTCTTACTGAAGTGGACCAGGGTGACCAGGCATGACAACGAGGAATTTGAACAGATACTGAGGCTAATTAGATACCAGGGTTAGTGGATTCTGGCTAATGTGACCTAGCAGGATTATTGCTAAAATCGGGCCCTAAGGACAGGCCCAATAATGGGGTCTAGTTGAAAAGACTAGGGGAACCTGAATGGAATTTGGTCAAGGACAGAATCTTTGTCATCGTCAATAGATTCAGAAAGAGATAACCAGGAGGAGGTGGTAATATTGTAGATAATGGAATCGTTCTCTGTCAGAGGTTATAGTTTTCTCTGTAAGATGAGATAGAATAGCACAGTGGATAAGAACACAACCATAGTATATGGGTTCAAAACACCACTTCTAACCAGCTGAGTGACTTTGGGAATGTCTTTTAATTTAAACATTGGCTTATTTTCCTCATCTGTAAAATGGACTTAGCACATAACCTATATGTTCATGTGAGGTGTAAACGAGATGACACATATAGTATTTAAAACAGTACTTGGTACCAAATGAGTATCTTGTATATGTCACTATTATAAACTTCAGTTTTAACCAGGAGGGAATATAAAATCTTTTGCATCAAGGAATGTGAATACAAATATAATCAGTATGTTACTGGGCTTCTAGGCTGCTCTGGGCTGCTCCTGGAGATTCTTTTTGTCCTGAACCAAGAATTGGTCAAGCTCAAAAGGTACTGAGGTTTTGCAGTTATCAAAGGTAGGAAAAGAAATGTGCTCTGTAGTGTGACTGTGGGCCACTGAAACATCTTACTTACATAGTGACCACAAGCCTAATGACAGTTGTCTTTTGTATCCCCCACTCCTCAGGATGTTGTCAGATCTAGGCCGTTCTATCACAAACCTGCTGGATCTTGCACCAGAAGAACTGAAGATAGCATTTTTGGGTTGGTCCCAGGTATAGACTTTGAGTGCTTGTGTCCTGAATATCTGATTGACAGGTCATGCCCACTTGCCCAGACAGCTGGCCATGCCCTAATCTCCTGCCTGAAAAGTACCCTCAAGAAAGGTCACACAATCTTGACTGGGTAGAGTAAGAAACTATGAGACTACTTTTAACTCTGCATCAAGTTGAGACCTGGTGGGTGGGAGCAGAGAGACTTAGAAACATCCAACTGTAAGTGAAGACCACTCTAACTCTGTGCTCTTAAGACAGCCTCGAGCACCCAAGGAACTCACATTTCTGGGTCAGTAGAATAAGATATGGTTGCTCTAAGGCTTGCCACTTGTTTCCAGTCTACTGTTTCATTTTCTCTCTACTTTGCCAAAGATCCCATTTCTTATTTAAGATCCTACCACCGTGTTTTGCTCTAAAAGGCTCCATAGTGCTCATTTTGGGGAGGAATATCTCTTCTAAAATCATGCTACTACTTGTTGCTCCAGGTAGGTTTTATTTTGGGGAAAATAGGGTGTTACCCATCTGGATTTGAAGTTGTCATAAATCTTCACAGCAGCGTTGCTGTTTCGTTAACCCTCAGTTCAATCTATTCAGTTCAGTCAGTGCTTCCTGACAGCCCCACACCTAAGCCAGGTACTTCTGTTCTTCTCTAGGGTAAGCTGTGGGGTGGATGGAGACCAATGTGGAAGAATAGAGATCCTGTCAGATTGGTTACTGTGAATCCTTCTTTAATGTCCCGTGATACTGTAAAAGATGTGGGTTAAATATGCTGCTCCTCTGAGTAAGTTGGCTTTGTCTAGAAAACACACCTCCAAGTTGGTGATTCTGATCCTAGGGGAGCTGTTTGACAGCTCTGAGTCATATTTAACTGAAAGCAGTGCAAAATAATTGTCATCTGTAAATATGCAAATTATGCCCCATCTGGTAGAGGGCCAATGACTTTCCTGCCCTTTCCCAACCAGTTTTGTCTCCATTTGCACATAAGTACATGTCAGTATTCCTGACTTATAAATAGGGGGATATCATGGATTCTTCTTTGAGCAAGTTCCTTTATTCTGAGCAAATTACAATCTCTAATACATATGCATTTTATACTCATATGAGAGCTGCTATTTTAAGTTTTAAAAAACTATCTACCATAGTAGGGGGCAAGATGACTGATTTCACCATAAGCGCTAGCTAATTCATCATCACGGATAACTGAAAAAGACAAAGGCCAAGTAGCAGATTATCTGCACCTTCATGCACGTTCATGGATAAAAGAGTAAATTCTATGCAGTTGTTTTGAAAGCAGTTCTCATATTTTGGATTAAGTGACATCCACCAAACACATCTATGGCTTCTTGAAATTAATGTGCTTATGGGAAACAGCTGGCTTTCACTGTGAGCTCTCAATGGTCAGTGGTGTTTATTGGTCTGTCCTCACCCAGCAGGCTGTCTTCTACAAGATAGCTGTAATGTGGTCTTGTTCACTATTTTGTCTCCGGTAGCTGCCCTGTTCTCTGGCACCCGGCATGGCTCTGCAGCTGTCTTGACAGATGACCAAACCAAGAGGCAGGCCAGGATGAACCCCTATCTTTGTAGGCACCATGATATGATTTTGCCAGTTTCTGGGTACAGTGGAGATTGGAAATGCAGTGTTTTGTCAACTAAACTCCTGAGGGGATGAATCCTAAACCCGAGTCTTGTTTTATTCATTAAGGAGAGTAATCAAACTACACAGTGGGCTGGGATGCTTGCCTTGCTCCCTTCAGAAATCTCCATAGGGGGTGTGTGGCTGCAATGTAATGAGAAGATTGCTTGTTGAGAATGGTGAACACTCTGACCTGTGTCCTGGAGGCTGGTCAGCCCTATCCATCCCTCAGCAGGTGCTTCTGCTGGTGGTCAGGATGTATTTAAAAAATGTATGGAAAACAATCTCATTCCTTGGACTTTCGGGGTTCAGAAAATATTCCCTGGCTGTTAAATGCATTCATTCTTCAAAGAAAGTAAATTGATTAGGCTTTAAGCTTTACATTTAGATTCACAATCCAGTTTTGTCCCCATTCTGGTCTCCATAAATAGAATTTGGATGTGCTTGAGCACCCTAGTTCCTTTCTATGCAGATAGTTTTGGGGATGTTTGGCTTGGCTGGGAGACTGACTGTGTGATTACATGATTGCAGGACATACTCCAAGGTGACATTAATCCTCTAATTTCGAGGTCTTTGAGGATGTTCACTGTGCACTGATGACATATTTTGTAGGAATCAAATAACTTGTTTCCTTTGAGAGATACTTCTTTGCTTTCTGGGTGTCTTAATTTTTATTATTTTGTAAGAGATGACATAATTGCATAGCACCTTGCTCTTCTGTGAAATCTTGCCAGCTGGTCTTGTAAAGTGATCACTTTCAACTCAGGAATGACAAATAAAGACGGAATTTTTTAAAGCGCAGCATCCACACGGGTACCAACGCTAGCAGAGATGCTTGTTTTTGTGTAGCTTTTCCTCCCAATCTTATTAAAGATTTTTCCCCTTGACATACTGTGGCAATGAAAATGTGCCTGAAGGCTTTGTTGCCAGTGCCAAACAAATAAATACTATAATTAAATAATAAAAGCAGTCTGAATCCATGATGTAAGATTTACAAGGAACAGAAAAAGAGAAAGTTGTACCATCTCACGGTTAGCAGACTGTCGGCAAACTCAGAGTCAGACAGTGGACGACTTCCTGTGGCCGGGGAAGGCGTGCAGAGTGTGCCACAGGGGCTTTGGAATAGAATTGCGATGAGGTCCAGTGTGGGCATGAGCAGGCCTCCTTGGGGCAGTGGTGATGGAGACAAAGGTTGCAATTTGAATATGAGGTTAGGCAATAGATCGAGGAGAATAGCAAGAGAGTGTTGTTGTTGTTTTTAATGAGAGGGGAGACAATGGAGCAGGAGAAGACCACAGTGTAGGGAGACATTCAATAGTCAGTTAAAAGAAACATGAAAGAAGGGGCCCGGTCTCAGAGGAGACAGGGAGGGACAGATGGGAGGTGGATTATCCTCCTGAGAGAGAGAGGAGACACTTCTTCCTTCATGGTGGAAGGCCAGGATGAGTGACAGCTATCAATTGATTCACACCCAGCAGCACTGTGTTTCTGTGAAATGGAGGGCGTGATTAAATGAGCAGTTAGGAGGGCAGGGCCCGGCAAAGACAGCGAGTGAACTGGGAATGCCCGGAGTAGTCCCTGAGGGAGCTGGGACTGATAACGGAATTGTCAAGGAATACAAACAGGAGAGGCAAACTGGGCCCCATGGATTGTTGAGGCAGCAGCCTTCCGAAGGCTGTGTGATTGTTCTCTTCTGCCAGGCGGGGGTCAGCTCTAGGAATCTCCACACTGGGATGTTCGCTCTAGGAATCTCCACACTGGGATGTTCGCGAGGTAGATGGGAGAGAATGTCAGTGGGGCAGGGGACTGAGGGTGCCGGCAGGATGTGACAGATGCCACTGGTGGGGAAACGAGCCAGCTTCTGTGGTGACACACGGGCCAAGACTGTGATCTTCCCATGGGCTGACTTAGTCTCCGAGTTGTAGCAGATCTCCAGGCGGAGAGCCACTGCCCCTTTTACGATGAGTCCTTACAGGGAACTCTCTCACTGTAGGGTTTGACAGGCTTGGGTATGAACTGATTCTTTTCATTTCTTCAGCTGCTTTTGGTAAGAACTGTTCAAGCAGTGCTTTCACCAAAAACTCGGATGAAATTAAAATTTTGAGGAAGTCTTAGATTTGTTAGAGGCAGAATCCTTACTCTGAGCCTGTGGAGTTTGACCCCGGGTTTTTGGTTAGTGAGAGTGGGTCTATAGGAACACCCGAGTCCTGTCCTGCTTATCTCTCTACAGCCAATCCTCAGCCCGCCAGCCTGAGTGAGCCTCTGCGGGCTTCCCTTCAGTCATCAGTCTGAAATGGAGCTCTGCAGCTGCCCGCTGTGTCATGCTGAGCCTGTTTCCGGCTTCCTGGAGTCTTTCTCCTTCCTGACATCCTGCCTTTTTGGATGGGCCATTCCAACCTGAGCCCTGTTACTCTTCCTGGGACTACAAATCTGCCTACCCCTGTCTTGTCGTGTCTTGTTTGTGATTCTGATTCTTTGGAGTTCCTGCCTTCATTTCCACCAGTTTCTCTCTGTCCTGTGACTTGACTGAGAGGTGTCCCCAAATCTGAAGTGAAGAGGGTTCGCCCTGATGTCCCCTCTGCAGTGCGGGCCGCCTCTCACATAAGATCCGTACCCGGGTCCTGTCTCCTGTCGACTCAGAACTGAGGAGGTTTCTTTTTTCCTATTTCTGGCTCACATTGGAATAATTTTAGATGAAAAGGAAGAGAACTCTAAAGGTTTTGAATGAAAGGGGACAGGAGAGGCAAAGGAGCCAAAGCAGACTAAAAGCTTCCCTGTCGCTCTCATTTTTGAGTGACTTCCTGTAGGTGTGAGAGATTTCCAATCCCCACGGTAGTAACAGTGACTGGCTTGGGAAAAGAATACAATGGTGAGGTAGGGGAGTGAGAACGCGACATTTATTGATTGATTTCTCTGTGTGAGTGTTTTATATGCATCCTATTTAATCTCTTTAACTCCTTGTTGAGAGAGAATTAAGGAAAGGACCCTTAGGCTGAAGGCTAAGGCCTGAGTAGAGTCTGGATTCAAGGCTGACTTCCCTCTACCCTAAATCGGAAATTCTGATGCCCCGTTTTCTTTCCTGTCTCCATTCTGTCACCTCCACTTTTACCCCAGGAGCAGCATGCATTTGCTTTCTGTTCACCCTCTGTGATTTTTAGTTGGGAAAACCAATTCTGAGTTTTTATTAAGAAAGCTACTCTCCAATTGAAAGGAAGGGATATGAGACACAATTCTGTGGTACCCAGTTGCCACCGTTTCTGAAATTCAATATTGCAAAAGCTATCATAATTCAAAGCATCGCTAGCTTGGTAATTCACTTCATTAACGGTGCTGCCTGAATAAAATGCACGGCAAATTAGAAGTAAACAAATCCTTGGAAAGTATGATCAGATGTTCAGAAAGCACGCAAAGTGAGTATATAGACGGAGAGAGGGTAGAAGGAAGTGACAGGGAGAGAAATCATATCAGGATTAAGAGGGATTTTCTGAGCCCAGGGGTGCTCTGAAGCCAGTATTTTTAGAAAGCGTTTCTGAGAAATATTGGAGAATCCATTATGAATCTGTCTTGCTTATATCTTTCCTTTTACGCCTTCCCCTCTCACGTAGCCAGCATTTTATGAAGTAGTCTGTCTTGTATCTGGAACAGATCTCCAGTCTTCCCATTTTTCTTGCCAGTGGGCACCATCTCCAAGTGGGCATTTCATGTGAAACAAAAAACCTGTTTCTTGTCACATAACCTGTACTCAGATCACCTCTCTGGAAATTCGGGCAGGTGGTTCATTGCTCCTCCCCACTTTCCAATCAGGTGGGCATGTGCGTAACTGATTTAGGCCAGTGACGCATCTCATGTCTGTGCTAAAACATTCACTCACAGGGTCAGGTTTTCTGATACTTTGTGTTCCCGCTCCAGCAATTATGGAAGCCAGTTGCTGAAAGGAAGATATGACCAGTCCGGAGCAGTTTGGGTCTCTGTGTTAGTCAGGGTTCTTCAGAGAAATGGAACCAGTGGGTCATATGTGGAAAGCTATAAAGATTTATGATGGTGAATCGGGTCATGGGATCGAGTAGGGAGGCAGAGATGGCCCATGATCTGCCACTGTAAGCCAGAGACCCAGGAGAGCTGCTGGTATAATGGGGGCCAAGTCCAAAGGCCTGAGGCTGGAATGGGGCCGATTAGTGGCGACCCCAGACTCACTCCAGAAGCCCAGGCATGAGTCTGAGTCTAAAAGGCAGGAGCACTGATGTCCAAGGGCGGTAAGAGGAGGGTGTGTTCATCCTTGCCTGTTCCTGTTGCTCTACCTGGCCCTCGATCGACTGTGTAATGCCCACGTACACTAGGCAGCATGGACCTTCTGCACTAAGCAACCAACTCAGATGCTAATTACTTCCAGAAATGCTTTCTCTCGCATGCCAAGAAATCCCGTTTTGCAAGTACCTGGGCATCTCTTGGTCCAGTCAAATTGATATAGTTAACTGTCACAGTCCCCAAGCTCTTCCAGGTACAGCTGCTCTAGCGGGCTACAAATACAAGCCGTGCGCATTTTACAACCAACCAAGAAGCCGATGTGGTTTGGTGTCACATCCTAGAAAACCACTCTTCTATCCCAGACGAAAGCAAGTTGTCGTCATCTCTCTTCTGAACTCCTGCACGAATGTTTTAACCTTTCTACTTCCTTTTCTAGCTCCATTACCTCCCAGTTCCCTGCATAGTGGTGTTAGTGAACCAGTTAAAACATAACGCCAAGGCCTGCCACTCCCTGCCCCCAAACCTGTCCCTTCCCCTTCTGTCCGGCATAAATTCTGAAGTCTTTAATGCAGCCTTCTAGGCCTGAGTGGCTTAGCTGCAGCTGTTTATCCAGCAGCCTCCATACCTTCCTGCAGTTCTTCGAACAGACTGGGCTGCCCGCTCCCCGGCCCCTTTGACATACTTTCTCCTCAGTCTAGAACATTCATTCCCCTCCACCATCACCGACTTCCCGAAGTTCTTCTTGGCTCGTCCTTGGGGTGACCCCCTAGGGACGTCCCTCAGATCCCTATACTCTTGTGTTTCATTGTCTGGTAACTGTCTTGCTCTCTGCTCAAATGACAGGCCCCACTAGGAGGAGGGACCCTGTCCCTTCTACCTGTCTCGCTGCCCTAAACATCTTGTGTCTCACATTCAATTCTCAACAGGTTCCTTTAGAATGACTTTAGGATGATGCACTAACCATAAGACAGTTGTGCACATATTTTTAAAGTTTAAAGAAAGCAACAGACAATCTATTTTTTTAGTGCTTTCTATGTCAGAAATCTGGTAGCAGGTGCTTTAATGTTTTGTGCGACTTGCATGCATTCTGATAAAAATACTCAGAGGTGGGAACTATTATTTTCACTTTAGAGATGTTGAAACATACTAAATATGCACTTAAATGAGATGCCCTATGCTGGGCATAATGGTGCAAGCCTATAAGCTCAGCTCTTGGGAGGCTGAAGCAGGAGGATCTAGGAGTTTAAAGCCAGCCTGGACTACATAGTAAGTTCAAGTGCAGCCTGAACTATGTAGTGAGACCCTGCTTAAAAAAAAAAAAAAAAGCCTGTGTCCACAAGACCAGTTACATCCATGACTCCATAACCTGTCTCTTGAACCTACTTTTTGCTTTGGTTTTATTAAGCCTCCAATTTTCCAAGTTTATAAAGCAACAGCACCAGGCTCTTATATCACAGCTATTATAATAAAAGCCAGCTTTACCTGTGTTCTTTATGGAAAGAACTGTTAAATCTCCTGACTCTGAATGCTTCCGAACAGAGTTATCTCTTTAAAAATAAAGGCTATTTACAGGCATAGTGGTTAAAACTAGTCAATAACCTGTTCATTTTAGATACCAACCTCAAAGTATGAAAACGTGGAAATATAATGTGTCCAACATAGATTTCTTTTTAGTTTGCCTTTAAAGTGTAACTTCTTTTAAAATTTAGAAATGTCAGAGGTGAAAATATCAATTTCCTTTTCCACGGAAAAATTCAGTCCGGGGATGAATGAAAATCAGACTTCATTTGGACACACCTTATCAATTAAATCTGCTATTGCTTAACAATACCTTTAGGCTTTCATTTCAAATCAATCTTTTTTATCTCTTTCATGAAACAGCACATATTTGAATGAGAAGTCACTCCAACTGATGGACAAATGTAAACATCTGCAGCATGGTGTTAAGACTTTATCCAACAAAACTAAAGGGTAAGTCCCACTCTTCGCCTTTAATTGGATTTGAAAGTAAGTATTTTTCCATTCAGAACTTCCCGTAGCATTTCTGCAGTGGTTTGTGAATCGCGGCTGTGTTCTCGCTCAGGCTTGGCGTAGGATTTTGAGGCGCTCCTGACGGTGAGGAGGTGGATGGTGGGTCGGTCAGTACAGATTGGGGTCACCCCTGGCAAGAGGACTCAACTCGTCTGTCCCTAGATCCATATCTACTAAGAACACTGTGTAGTTTTACTGGTTATACGCTCAAACGCCTTTGTTCCTTTTGAGACTCCAAGATGCACTCTGGACCCTCTCCTAGGAAAACAACTCCTTGTACAAATTTTTGGTTATCATTTCAGGTTAAAGATTCACCTCCAGTTCCGGCTCTGGCTCTCCCCCGACTCCCCCACTCCTGCTTACAATCCTGTATTTTGGGGAGCCTGTTACACTCTTCCAGCTGGGTAGGAGGAACTGCACAAGTCCCCTGCTGCACAGGCAGAAGAGGCCCTGGGGCCTGAGATGCCAAAGTGGGAGGTGCTGTTCAGATTGCACCTGCGAGGGCGGAGTGAAACAGTACCGGGCGAAGCATGCGTGGGCGACGGGCCGTGTGCTCACCCCCGGGATCTCTCCGAAAGGAGGTGATTCGAGTTTTGTTTTGCTGTGTGCTTGGCTGACTGACGATGTGAGAAGACTATTCAGGTGAGAGGTACGTAGCATAGATTCCTCATGCCAGGCCTACGAAAGGAAGAGCCAGTGATGGTCTTCTGTATTCTTCTCCATATTTTTCCTTTTTCCTTCTATATTTTTTTCTTCCTACACACATCCCTCTTCCTCTTTTCCTCTTAAAAATAGCACTTGTGGGAGGAAGGCATTAAGGCGGCTGCCTATAATCCATTCACCGCCTGCCCTGGGGAGTTGCAGCAGGTTGACCTGGAGGAAGAGAAACCGAGGCACGACTGGAGCTAGTAGGAAGCCACCGTGGACAGAGGCTCGGAGCGACCCTAGCAACCTGCTCTCTGGCTGGTTCAGCACTGATAGGAAATGGTGCCAGGAAGCGGGTCACCCCTGAGAACGGCACATGGGGATGAAAGGAACATGTTTTTGGCTTAGGTATTCCTGCTCTTTGAGGAATCACGCAGGCCTCACTTAGAGACTTCACCTGCTGTTCCGGACTAGTGACACAGTCAGTCCAGTGTGACAGGGTCATCCTCGATATTGCTCCATTTATCAAAAGATACCTTCTCAGGGTGTTTGTTTTGTTCTCCTTAAATTCCAAGGAACGAGTCCTGGGCTCGCTGGAGGACCTGTCCTTCTTCCTTGCTGTGCTACCTGTCCTCCACCTATAGCCAAGGAAGGGACTGCATCGTTTGAATTAAGGTCGTGGCTTGGATTAGGTTTCTTTCTCCCTCACCCTTGTACTTGTTCTATCCCTGTTCTCTTCCTCCCTTCCTCCCCCCGCACGCGTCAACTTAGGGATAAGTTAGGCAGCCCACACCTTGGGCACGGTCCCTTATTTCAGGCCCTAAGTGATGCAGTTTGAGCCGGCCATGGTTCCTTCCTGGACCCCAGCTTACCAAAGCGTGGCTGGAACACCTGTGCAAGTGCTTCTCTGCTCCCACAATAAATGCGCTGGACTAAAGTATAAAGTAGCTCATGCATTGAAGATGGCACATCACACGTGTTTTGGTCATGTTGGACCTGTGTGCTTTGTTGTTTTCTGGGTGTGAGGATATTACAAGGCTCTGCTAGGCTTTTCCTGGGGAACCTTATCCTAAGCCCACGCTGCCTTTCACAGGTCAGGGGTAGAGCGTGCAGGCACAGGAAAAGCGGAACTGGGAGAATTTAGTCTCTGCTCCAGCGTAGCTTGGGGAGAGCAGCTTGCTCCTTGGCCTCTGTGCGTGAGGAGCACATTGATGTCCTGATAACATGGCCCTCGCCTGCGACTGTTCAGCTCTCTCACTGACATTTACAACTTTTGCTCCCCAAAGTACAACAGGTTGCAACAAAAGGATGATCGATACCTGCACATGGTGGCCAAGTCCTGGCTGGTCGGGGTGGGCCTCCTGTCACCACGGAAGGTGCCTTTTGAAGCCAGAGAGTTTGGTGTGTACCCACCACGCTGGTTCACTGCAGTATGCTAATGAGGATGCCCGCTGCATGCTCTCAAGTTTGCTGTCTCTGTTTTGTTTTGTTTTGTTTCCTGTTGTTTTGCATTTGCTGGTAAGACTTTTTCTGTCTGATTCTTTAGGCGGGGGTGCCTGTCCATCATGCACACAGTGTTCAGCTAGCTCGTATAATTAGCCTGCGCTGGTATTCTGTGCAGCAGAGGTCTGGAGAGAGCAGGCACGAAATGCCCATTGTTAGGAGAGTGTTATTTTGCACACGGGAGACTAATTTTTTCGGTCGTATTGTCTATTGTCAGGAATTGTGCGTTCCGCAGCTAGTGCTATTACAGACTTACAGGGGACAATTGGGAAAGCCATTCAGTGCGCAGTGATTAAAAAAAAAAAGTAATTTTATTTTCTTAGAAATAATTATTTAGCCCTATTTTTGTCATGGTCTGTGAAAGACAGAATTTTCTCTTTCTTCGGCCAATTTGTCCCTTTCAGGTTGCTAAATTAGAATTTAGGAAGACAAAGTTACAGAGGGAAGAAAATAGCACTCTTTTTCCTCCACTAGTCACATGTATTTTTGAATGAAAGAAAATTAAGCAGTTACCATTAGGACAACCAGTGAGATAAAGTGTTCTGTGTCATAATTCTTGATTCTCTGTTGAAGAACCTGAGCTCCAACAAGGTGGGAGAGGGTCTTGGTCACAGCCCCATCAGGTGCCTAGCAGAGTCCTGAGCATGAATTAATTGCTTAGGAAATATCTATTGAATAAACAAATGGATAAATAACAGGTGGATGGAGGGATGGATGATTTTCTGAGGGCTTCAGAACATTTTCTGTGCTATCTCTAATTTCTGGATGTTAAAGATTTATCTGGAGGATCATAAACTACACCACTGAAGATCCAAATGGTGGCCCTTCTTGAGCATTCTCTGCCTTTGGGTGCCTCTCTTCCATTATTCCAAGAATCCAGGGTCTCGTGAAATGTAGTCACATTAATCTCTGCCGTTTGGTCAGAGAAGATGAACTACTCTAACAAAACCGCTCCAAACCCAGTGTCTTAACACACAATCGCATCCTTTCTCCTACAGCGTTTGATATTGCTTCTTGCTCAGGAGGCTCTCTCCGAAAGCTCTGATAGCGGTGATGCCCCCACTGACTTGCCGTGAAAAGGGAGAATAAGTGAAAGCCTATCTTCCACACCACCAGGAGCGGAGTCCAGTTGCCAGTGCTCCCACCCAGATTCCGCTGGCTGGGTCTGGTGACTGGTGTTGGCCCGCAGATGGGAGTGGAGCTGATGGGAGGTTGGTGTTGGGGGACTAGGGCCTGGCTAAGCAGCTGCTCGCAGCAATTTCTTTAGTCTGTGGAAAGGGAGCACCCAGCCAGTGGAGGGCAGTGAGACATCTGTGCCAGGGCATAATAGTTCTCCCATTCCATTAATCCTGACTATAGGCCCCTCAGGTGTCTCATAAAAGGGGGAGAAACATTCTTTTTAAAACAGTAGCAAATGGAACACCTTCAAGCCTTTGAGCAGTTTAAATAGTGTCCCCTTTGAAAGGATTTACAGGATTTCTCAGGAACAGACTATAAGCTTCTATAACTTTCTGTAAAATCATTAAGGCACAAAGGCTCATTTGTCTCTATATAGCTTTTGGGGGGTAAGATACAAATATTCAGAATTAAGATTTAGAACATCTGCTTTGCAGATGCTTTGCAGGTATGGCTTAAGCCAAGACCCTACCAAAGGAGTAAACATATTCGATGAGCTATTCCATGCAGTCGCATTTTACAATTACTGAGAATTTTCTCTAGAAAATTCGCAATCACTCGAATTTTCTGAAAGATAGCTTCCTCGCAGGGGAGCATTTAGATGCTAGCTGAAGGGGCTCTTTTGCAGAGTAACACCCAAAGAAAGTTGACTTCTGACCCTAAATGTTCTATATTCTCTCTTATCCTGGAGAGAACAACACAACCTGAATTGCTGCAAGGAAAGAGGAGGCGTAAATTATGGCAGATCAAACTTCAGAAAGCTGGAGTGTGAGCTTATCACTTGTCAGCCTGCTAACAAAGCAAGCATTTCTAAATTTTAAGTTATCTGCCGGAAAGAACGATTTTTGGTTGTATTCTGTTCAGCTTTCAATTCACGGCCCCTTAATTGCTTCCTAAGATGATGCATGCAGTTTTGTCTGTCTGCTCACCCCTGACCTTTCCACTTGCATCTTCTGTTTAAAAGTACCCAAATACAGCCCTCCTCCCTTTGCTGGTGGAGAGGAATAGGCTGGATATAAGAAGTTCACACCAAGATGGCCAAACAGTTTATTATACTAAGTTGGCCCATTCTTAGTGTCTTAAATTTCTCTTGGTAACTTGTTTGTGGATATGAAATTTTAAGTTGAGAGCCCTATGAGCAGGCACTTATACCTTGCTGCATTTATACCCAGTCATGCCAAATATATTAAAAGATTATTTAGCAACCACCAGTATGTAGTTCAAAATAAACAATCACAATCTAAGAGCTTGAAGGAATAGTTTCCTAAATTCACACACACACACACACACACACACACACACACACACACACACAATTTTTTATTTACTAGGAACAAGTGTAACTTTTTTTTTTTTTTTGAGACAGGGTCTCACTATGTAGTTGAGACTGATCTGGAGCTCACTATGTAGCCCAGGCTCGTCTCAAACTAACAGCGATCCTCCTGCCTCAGCCTCCCGAGTGCTGGGATTACAGGCATGCGCTACCATGCCCGCCATGACTTGTCTTTTTAAAGAAATCTAATTCCCTAAGTTTATCTTTTCTTTTTTGAGGATCAGGTTAACGTCTGGCTGAGTCAGGAGCGTCACACCCATCTCTCGTGAGAAAACTCCGAGGC